GTTCTATATAGTAGGGTAGGTTGGAAAACCGTTTCCGTAAGACTTACCGCATGTCATCCGCATTTGGCTTTCAGTTTGATACTTGTGACTAATTAGCTGTTGGCACTATGCATGGGAAGTTTTGTATATATATAGAGAGAGACCATAAACATGTTTACATATTTATATGGAATTTGTTTTCCTACGTTAACAGCTACAAACATGGCGACTGTGGGAAGGTACGAATGTGTATTGACGGAAACGTTTCATGAACCAGACGTATTTTTGAGGAGCTAACTGTGGCTTGGCTCAACTAATAATGGAAACTTTTCATTCGGATTTTGTGTATCCGAGAGATTCATTACAGTGTAGACAACAGTCCGACATTGGTCTCTATCTTGAACCAAATGAATCCAGTATGTACCCTCACATTCAGTTTATTTTATGATCCATTTAATGTTATCCTTTGCCTGGATAACCAGAATGATATCTTTGCTTTAAGTTTCGTTTAAAGAGTGTTGAGGAATGCATCTGTATGAACTGGCCAAACATGAAACCCCAAGATTCACGGCACGGGTTGCCGTTGAATGCCATTTTGAGCCCGGGTCTTCTCCCCCCCCCCCAACCCTTTAGTCTCTTTCCTAAGATAATCTGTTGTAATATTTTCCCATCTCCTTTTATGAGTTCGGAATGTACGTATTCTTAGGCGTTTCCCGCAGAGGTTTTGTGAACATTGCAGCCAAACTACATGTCCAGCTCATCACAGCCTGTCTTCACCTGTACAGACCTCGCATGTCTTTGTTACTTAATGCAAGGGACTCTGTTGCTATAATTTCAAAACACACCCAGAATAAAATACTGCAAGCGCTTCTGCCGTTTTACGAATCTTTGAGAGCATTGTTGATGATTCGGACGGTTTTGAAAAACTGCGGAGAACCCCAGTGAAAAGAGACCATTGAATTCCATAAATTCTATTTTTGACGGCTGGCTGGTTATGTTCTTTCAATGTTTGCAGAAATCCGTTAGGGGTGTGCTGTGTATGACTACTACCCTGTCATGAATGCCGTTTCGAGCAGTTTGTAGTGAAAATGATTGTACAAGGGCCAAAGGGGGGCTTCGACACGTGCAGTTGTGGCTCGCGCCAGTCATCTGTTTGGATTCCCTCCCGTGAAAGGGATGCTGGGAGAGTTTCCCCCTGCTCGGTGCTGTTGAGCGCAGTTGATGATGATGATTATAATGACGATGATTAGTAATAAATGGTTTAAAACATCTGACAGACAAGCGATGTGTTTTGAAGTCTCACAGCCGTGAGGGATCCGAACCCTTGTACATGTACAAGCCGTATAGTCTGTTTCGCCGTTAACTGGTGCATGGAGATATACAGACATGTGTCTTTACGCTCATGATGCCACGTGTTCCCACGTTACGTGTATGTGACGGTACATAATGTAACTTGCCGGGTCAAATTTTGCTGTTAATAATGAATGGTCACATTCTGTGTTGGGGCACCGATAGCTGCCAGGAAGAGTAGTGTGTCGCCGCTGATGAAAGCGAACAGCTCGATATACATGCAGCATATATTTGGGAGTAAAATTGCGGCCCGCGGTAGCGTAGTTGGTTGAGGCACTATGCTACAAGCCGGAAGGTCGCGGGATCGAATCCTGATGAGGTCATTGGATTTTGTTTTCAAATTACCTAATCCTTCAAGCCGCACAATGGCCCTGGGGTCGACTCAGCCTCTAACAGAAATGAGTAGCAAGAATATTCTTGGGGGAAAAAGGCGGCCGGCGCGTAAGGCTGACAACCTAACCGCCATCTATGAGCCGATTGTCTAGAAAAATGTGGGAACCTCAACATCTCACAACCCTATGGGCCTCCACAGCTGTTAAGGGATACCTTTACTTTTACTTTTTTTTGTTTTAAGTATACATTGGGCCGGTCACAGTAGCCAAGCAGTCTGAGGCATGTACTATCATTTTGAATTACAGTTTTGAAGTTTCGAGAGTGAGATACCGACACTTCTGTGTGACGTAGCATCATACAATTCAATGAAGCGAGCGTCAGCGTTTCCATGATAGGTATACAGCACACTGATAGAGTAATGTGCTACTGGGGAAATTTGTTTTATGAAAGACTACCCCTCCAGGAGCAAGCAGTTTCCTTGACTTGGCAAGCTTATCTTGCGTGTTGCATTATGTAACCATCACGAAACAGCCCAGCATCTCTTAGGTATGGGGATCGGAGCTTTAAGGGCACTATGGAAGAGGCATTTGTGCAAATCTCATCTTAAATGTCAGTTTATCGTTTAAACATTTACACGAAGAAGAGAATGGTTTTCGTGAACTTTCGCGCATAAGAACGATGAAAGTTACAGGCGTTTAGCCTCTGATAATGTAGGCTGACACGTGATGTCACTATTATAATCATATCGATTTATTTTTATTTCACCGAGACGTACAAGTGTATGTTTTGTTCAAGCATGTTGTAAGTTGTGTCGGTTATTGTAAATGCTCCCCAGATTAGGTCGACAGTTTATGACGACAGAACACAATTCTGGCAATCCAAAGACATAAAAAGGTAACGGTATCCCTGTAACAGGCCGTGAAAGCCTGCAGGGTTGTGAGACGTCGAAGCTCCCACATTTTCTCTAGAAAACTGGCTCACAGTTGGCGGTAACGTTGTCAGCCTTACGCGCCGGCCACCCTTTACCCCCACCCCCCAGGAAGATTCCTGGTACTCATTTCTGTTAGAGACCGAGTCGACCCCAGGGCCATAGTGCGGCTGGAAGGATTAGGTCAATAGAAAAAATCCACCTCATGGGGACTCTAACCCGTGACCTTCCGGCTTGTAGCACAGTGCCTATGTCTGTACATCACACAAGTCTGCGACTTTTGCATTAAACTTGAGTATGAAAGAAAATTACATTTTCTGATTCATGGTGTATGTAAATCCTTTGAAATTCAGTGGTGTCATTGTGAACCAATGGATGTTGAAGTACCTGATGATGGCCGGTTGGGGCCGAAACAAGTTGAGAAAAGCCAAAATTCTGAGGAATGAAGTGGTTACGCTGTTGGCGGAACTGTGGTATAAATATTTTGTGTGAATGTAACTGATTTCACAAACTAATTTATCCTTCAGAGGGTTCAAGGATTTCTCGAAATTTTAATAAAGCTCCCCACCGTTCATTGAAAAGAGTGTTTATTCCTTGTACTCGTATTTATATGCGTTTTTCTTCTCTGTTGCAGGTAAGTGTTGGATCATCTGAACTCGTTGCTTTTAACGGCTTCACCCCGAGATGGCGGTTGCGCCGTTTCTGAAAGAGTAAGTAAGTGTATTTAATGCCTCAGACGAAGGGCCACGACAGATTAAACTGAAGACTGTGAGGGGATAAGCCAACAAAAGTCACTCCGATAAGAAGATATCGGCTACTGTTCTAACACTCTTCAACATTTGTGAAATCCGCATTTCACAGTTGCACAAGACCACTTCAATTTGCACAGTTACGTACATGAGTGTATCCACATTAGTTTTTAGCATTCCAGAATAATCCAATCATTGTGTAAGCGTCCGGTATAGAAAACCGAAATTAACGGCCGTAGGAATTCGTTGCGCTGACCACGCGACACCCTCTGTCCGCTGATGTTGGGCATTGATGTCTGTGTTTGTGGTGTCCTGCGTGTAGGTAGCAGCCTTGCGACGGGTTGATCACTCGTTCAAGGAGTCCTAGCACCGGTGTAAAAATGATCAGGAAACTGAAGAAGAGGCCAGGACCCAACAAAGGGATGTAGAGCCATTGATAAATGAAAATGAATGAAGAAGTCTCCGGCAGGAGTCGATTTTTCCCTTCGCCATCACACCGAGAGCATTTTGGATTAATCCATCCTCCTATCCCTGGTAGTAAAGAGGTCGGACCGTAAAGCTACTTCATAGTGAAATGCTGTGTGTCGTGTAAATTGTACAGAAACCAACATATTTATAAAGATATTCATTGATATAATTTGTGACTTCTGTACAGATTTTAAGATTTATAAAGAAATAGAATGTCTTATATTTCGGACAACGCGATAAGATCATGGACGCAGGTGAAACTGTTTTCGGTTTTAAAATTAAAACTTTCGACTGAGAGGTGATGTCCCAGACAGGTAGTATGTGTGTCTCGAGTTGAGCAAGTCGTTAATTCTTGTCATTGCGACTAAAGTTTGTTTAACGGCTGTTTACTATAGACATTTTGTGTTCGGCTAGTTGAGCAACGCGGAAGTATTAATTCACCGTTCTGTCGCGAGGCAGATGATGCAACCATGACGTAGTAGCGCCGCCGCATGTCCATCTTGAGCTTCTAGCAACTTTGTCGGCTTTTACAGATCCGTTCGTTTTGTGTTACCTGTTCCGTGTAGCCATCTTGATCTTCATGTGCTGTTTGCGACTGCTGCGTCAGACGCTTTACAGTGTTGCCATACCGTTGAAAACTGTGTTATTTCTGTACCGGAGGGCATCGGATTTATACTGTAAGGCGTATGGAGAGACTTACTAATGTACATTAACATTAAGTCTGCTGCGATGTGTTGAGGACTAGAAAGAAGACGCCATGGTTAATTGGAAAGTGTCGTTAAGACAGTAATGTCTTCAGGGAATAACCCCCCAGTACGTCTGGCCTTTCAGGTCGAACACATGATGTCTCCAGCACGAATGACAGTGGTTAGGTTCCTGAAAACATGCCAGCAAGGAGTACAGAGAGCGCCCAGGCGAGGCATTCCAGTGTGTTGGATTAGTGTGTATTTCTGTCTTTCTTCTTCTACAGTTTCGTTCCCTCATTCCCGTTTTTATTGCTGTAAGAGGGAACGCGGACCTACTGATGGTATGGAAGTGGAGATAAAGAAACTGTTGTTGTAATTGTGAGATAGAAACGATATAGCGTTCTAGTATAGAAATAAAGGCCTTTAAAAATGCCAACTTGTCCACATGGCTGGGGTTTACACTCGATGTATTTGTTTCGAATTTAGGTAGGCGTTTCGCGTTGGTTATACGGCATGTTACAAGTTGTACAGCTGTAAGAGATTCCTGTGTTACTGTTCTGAACGCACATGCGAGTACTCCAACTGATGAGTGAAACTATGATTTTTATTTCGCATTCACAATTTACTCCGCCTCACGCTAGTGCTGAAGTTCCTAGCAAAAGACTGCGGGTTGCATAAATATAAGAGCGCATTTTGTAGTGAGCTTCATTCATAAGTAGCAACACGCACCAAGTTACATAACTTAGGCTTTACAGTCCCTTCCAAAGTTGTCATTGAAGCGGTCCAGTAAGATCTTACAGATAAGAATGTAACCATAATTTGTTCATGGTCTCTGCATTTTCACAATCGACGTATATATTGTATCCACTTCCGGTCGGATGTTGATGTTTCATCAGGATGATGATGCTCACCAGACCAAGTTATGTTGTATGTTGTTTTGAGGGTCGAAAACCAATTTGGAAACTCTGGGAAAAGAGGAAAAGTAAACTTTCAATTATGTGACCAAACTCATAGGGTGAATTGAATTGTATTATATATATATATTGTAAAAAATGAGACAGGATGCTAAGGGAAACCAGATATTTGTCATTTCGGTTGGAAATATGTTTCATCAGAATGGTTTTCCACTTCAACCGTTCATATATATTTCTTTTTCCTTTTACCTATCGATCGAGGACGCTGTTCCGCAGTGACTTTTGTTGATATCGACATATGTATAGCAGAATTCAAACGTAACGGCGAGTGAATGACGGTTTGTCTCATGAGAAAGAGGAGCTACAAGGTTGCGATGTTGCAAGTTTCCGCTTGAACTTGGTTTTGTGTTCTTAAGACTTGGCATCACGTGTAACCCACAAACCCACTCCGCTCCCCCTTTTCTTCTGAAATAATTGAACACTGAATCAATAGGCTTCTCTGCAGCGCTGACTCTGTTTTCAGAGCATACAGTGAAACATAACCGAAAGGAACGAACCAGCCGAAAAACTTCATTTAGAAAAAATATATAAAGTTGTGGAATATAGAGCGAGAGGGAACCCGAGTGGGTAGTACGAATATCATAGGGCGACTGACGCCGATCACCACTTCATAATCACCAATTTTTATAATCCTTGCAACCGCAGAAGTAATAGTCGCCCGCCATTGTTTTCGAATCCAATGACAGATCAAACAGTGGTTGTTGTTCTTACGCAACCAAAGGTAAATTCACACCTTTTCTTTTATTTAAGATCCCGGCCTGTATAGTAAGGAGTATGTTGAAACAGAGCTTGTAAACCTTTGGTCCGTGAGCTCTTTATTGTCCTGAAGTGCTGTGAAAAGTTACGTCAGAAACATAACACTTAGCTCAGGTCTGAATGTTTAAGTGTGTCCCTAGGTTATTCCTATAATCTGCTGAGAGCGGTCATTCTTGTTGTTGCCATAATAGAGTTGTTACGTCTACAGGTAAATCCCGTTATGCTGGGCAGTGGCGTTCCTAGAAAGCTCTGTGCTACGACAAACACATTTATGTTACGTTCCACAGGCGGTATTATTCAGTGGTGAACTCTGTTATTTTAAACTCGTCTTTTATTATTTGAAAGTTAATTTATTGTAATAAGATAGACTTTCTGTATGGGTGTGAAAATTGGTCTCTGAAATTAAGGGAGGAACATAGACTGAGGGTGTTGAGAATATTTGAACCGAAGAGGGATGAAGTGACAGGAGGTTGGAGAAAACCGCATAATGAGGAGCTTCATAACTTGTACTCTTATCCAAGTATAATCAGAATGGTCAAATCAAGGAGGATGAAATGGGCAGGGCATGTAGCACGAATGGGGGATGCGAGGAATGCATATAGGATATTGGTGGAAAAGCCAGAAGGAAAGAGACCACTGGGAAGACCAAGGAGTAGGTGGGTGGACAATAGTAAAATGGATCTTAGTGAGATAGGATGGGATGGTATGAATTGGATTGATCTGGCTCATGATAGCGACCAGTGGAGGGCTCTTGTGAACACTGCAGTGAACCTTCGGGTTACATAAAATGATGGGAAATTCTTGAGTACCTGCAGATTTGGCTTCTCCTCAAGGAGGGCTCAGGTCCATAAGTAAGTAAGTTAGACTTTGAGTAAGCAGGCATATGACTTCAGATAATGAGTTTACATTATAAGTGTTGTGTCTTTACTTTGAATGTTGTTACACTCACCAGAAATATTTCTGAAGATCACTCAGTGGCGTTACATTAAGCCAGTTTGATGTGTTTATCGCAGGAAGATCAGATGTGCTTTGCTTTTTCTTGGGATTTTATAAGAAATGGCCGAGGCGCTTACTGGCCCTATGCCGAGACTCGTATGTGAATATGCTGATAATGGGAACCGCGTATGTTCGAAGAACTCTGAAACCATATGAACTTAAATCTGGGTAGATATGCTTACCAGAAACTGCGTTTTAGACTTCTGAGGGTCATTCTCCCCCCTCGATCCCCTAAGTATGATACTCATAAGAAGGAATCCAGCCAGCAGAGTAACCGACTACAGGGTGGATGAACGGGGTTCGATCCTTTACGAGGGAAAGGAATTATTATTTTATCTGGTATCCACGCAGCCTCCTGTCCAGTGTCTATGTGGGCGTATCCGGTGTTACAGGAACTGGACTTCTAAGCTGACAGCCCACCTCAATCTATTGCCGAGATTAGGAATGGCTACGGCTTTACTTCGTGGCCCATGCGTCCAGAGCATGGTGCATATGCAGCGTGGTAACCTTGACTTTTCACTGTAACAAGGACGCGTATATTGTCATGTGTATTAGTGATTATAGACGGGGTTTCGATTGTTGAACAGATTTATTGGACAGTCACAGGCAAAACACTATAGCACACAAAATAAAGTCTTCAGTATCTTCTTGTTTGCCGTTACTTGGTAATGAATCTTATCTGGTTAACACTTCACAGCTGAATACTCAACTATAGAACTACCTTCTGAATTCTCTTACGAATGAATTATGACCATTTTATAAGTCACCATGTCGAACAGTTCCTCTGTTGTTCTGTATTTTTTTTTCGTTGCAGCAGGAACGTGCTTCTAAGCCGTTGCGCAGCAATCATTTTTTTTCGGCTTCTCACGGAAACGTGTTAGCGAGCCGTTGTCTGGCAATGGATTATTCCGGCTTTCAGGTACCATGTCACAATATATTATGACTGATTTGTTGCAGAATTTTGCTTGAAACAAGTTCATATTTCGTGAACATGTGTTTTAACCCCACTTTTCTTCTTCACTTAACATGGTAGCTCTTGTAGTGATTAAATATAAAGTTGTCCCCGTGCTTGAGTACATCCCTATGAATACGTAAAAGAGACGTAGAGGGAAAGCTCCACGCATTCTAAACTTCAGCCCTGAATTCGCATTAGTGGTCACCTTCATTCTCCTGCCGCTTTACTTTCGGGTACTCGTTAGAGAGGACGCTGAGTGGGCCCAAAGAGCCCTCCCCGTTTGTGGTGAAGAAGAGAAAAATCCCTGACCTTGTTTGCTGGGAATGTAATCCAGGCCCTTCAGTTCGGAACCAGTCACTTTGACAACTCCCCTGGCCTGGCTCATCTTATTATGAGCATGGTTCAGAAATATCATATTGGACTTTGACTGTAGTTCCCAGTACCAAACTTTATTACAGGCGGGCGAGGCTACCCGTACTGCTTAATTAACAGGCTCTACCGCTTCGCTGTGTTTCGAAACTACAACTGCATAAATCTGTTTGCTAAGGTCAGTTGCCGTCTTCAGTATTCAGTATGCAGGTACTTGACCGCCTCGGTGGTCTACATATCCAGAGGTCCCGGGTTCGATTCCGGACGCTACAAGATTTTCTGAGAGGTAATGGATCTGGAACGGAGTTCACTCAGGCTCGTGAGATAATGAGGAGCTATTTCAAGGGTATAACGGCTCCGGTCTAGAAAACCGAAATTAACGGCCGTGGGGATCCGTTGCGCTGACCACATGACACCCTCTAACCGCAAATGTTGGCACTAACTTCGCCGACAAGCGGCGGTCGCTCGATCGGTATAGTTCGCTTGCGGACTACAGACGACGGAGTATGCAGGTACTTGATAATTGCTACCAGGCCTCGTAGTATCTGTGTTACGGCCGTGTATACCACGTGAGATTGTTAGTGTTCCTGTTTTTATCCGCTTACATGTTGCGTTATATAATTGTTATGCTGTCTCTTGGAAATCAAGGCAGTTCTTCTGGCTTTCCTCCTGGCTTGCAGCGACACACATGCGTCACAATCCGGATCAGATAACAGACTGTTGCAGCATATTGCAATGTGCCCCTATCGCTGACTTGTTTCACACCGCGTATTACGAAGGAATAAAACCGCTGCATGAATATGAAATGAGATAAACATCAAAGGCTAAAAGTGTAAAAAAATCCTTTTAAAGGTGTTTTAGAATGAAGTTGCGAGTTGAATATTTCGACCTGAACAGAGAGAGAATGTATAAGGGGTGGGCCTTCATGGCCCTTGCACCGCGACCACAGTGATCTATTGTGCCTCACTGAGAAAGAAACGTAACAGGAGGATGGAGATAACTAGGTATTGAAGAACACCGCAATTTGTTTTAGAAAGATCAGTTTAGTAGACATTTCCCCTTGCCCCCCCCCCTGCTAACAGGGCAACTAATCATGTACTCCTCGGGAAAATGGTTCGGCCGGAGAGCCAGCCGGTTTGGATTTGACAGCGAAGGAGAAAATTTCGTACCCTTCCTTGGAATCGAATCCCAGTTACCCAGCGCGTAAATTTTTAAATGAAACATTGCATAGAAACGTGAATTGATTTTGAGACCACTGACGGTTGTGTTGACGACTGACTGGATTATAGGTTATTTAACGTCACTAGCAGTTAGCAGAGGTTGCTAGACGTCGAATCATGTTACAGGTTGATCATGTTCGGCGGAGTGCGAAAGTCTGGGGGAATGGGCGTGGCCAGTGTCAAGGTACAGTCTCTGCATTTACGTATAAAGACCGTGGAGAAACCTGCATTATGCTTCAGGATCAAGATTCAAACAGCACACCTCCAGAGTGTTAAGACGAAACGTTGCCACGTGACCCAGCTTCACCTGTGAGAGTTGTGTTGTTCAGATGGTACTCGTAAGTGAAATGTTATGGCTTCGATTCTGACAGAGGAATTTCCACATCTCCATTCTGGTGACAGTTTTCCGGCATCTGGTCCGTCTCGGTACCGCTGTGATCAGCAGCCCGTAACGCCGTCCGCATTGCACGGCCGGACGGCTCTTGTGGTGGCCACGAAATGACTGCAAAAATTGCAGTTCGTAATATTACACTGCAGCATCCTGTTGCACTGTGAATTCGCATTTCTCACAGCCTCTTACAGAAATGGGTACCAGGAATCATCCTGAGGAGTAAAGCGCGGCCGGCCCGTAAGTCTGACAGCCTCACCGTCATCTGTGAGCCGATCGTCTAGAAAATGTGGGAGCCTCGACGTCT